ATTATAATGCATATTCAGAAGATAAATAAATGGCATCGTCAATTTTTTAGTTCATGTAGTTTAATTTACTAGGTTAGTCATCACTTGTTGAAAAAAAAATGATGAATAAATCAAATAAGTTTTAGTTTCCATCTCTCTAAAATAGAATTGAAAAAATAGAAAAGAAATTCCATGAATTCTATTAAATATATATTATTAAAAGGATATTGACGATTTTTAGTTTCTTCATTCAACTACATCTAATTTATCTTTATATATATAATTCATCATTTTTAAAGAGTTGTACATAAAATTACGTTGAAATAAAATGACAAATAGATATAAGAAGAATGAAAAAAATGTGTCTAATAAATTTAAACAAAAACAAATTAGATAAAAAATGGCATAAAAGAGAAAAAATAATGAAAAAGAGAAGATGATCCAAGCCCAAAAGTTGAGCCCAATTCCATGCATTAAAAAGGGTAAAATAATAAGAGAAGAGGAATTGTTGCGCATGGGATTCGAACCCACGACGTAAAAGTCACTGTTGAACCCCTTATCCATTGAGCAAAAGCTTCTCACTTGTTTTCAGGGGGTTCATTTTAATATATGTACACAAAAAATCAGAATTTGGCCCTATATATATAACGTAATTTTTCGATCGAGTGAACCCCCTCGACACAACCTAGGTCTTCCCCTGTTGGTGCTAAGTAAAGGTGTATTATTGCATTAGAGGTGAACTACAAAAAAATGACTAAAAGACTTTGGTTGACGCAAGTGCGGGTGGGCAAGTTCTTAGGTGTTAATGGTGAAGTGAAAGCAATTGTGTAAAGAGTTGTTCGAGGACAAACACAGATTTTATGTGTGGGGTGGTGATTTTAGGTATATTTATATGCCCATTTACTATATTTTACTCACATGCACCTTTTTAGTTTTAAGAGCATTTTATTCTTATTGTTATTATTTGATTGGTATTGCGATGATTATGCACTAAAACGTGTGATTAGCAAATGCAGGAAATTCAAAGCAAAATCAAGCACTTGGGAGCTAAAGCAGAGGAGGAAAGCATGGATGCAACCCGGAGGAGCACACAAGAGAACACACTAGAAACATCTCGGTTGGGGCGCACTGCAGGCGCATTACCCCATACCCAGAACTACTGTTGCACCCTTCCACTCAACTCTCAGAAATCCAGGTAGGGGTGTACATGACCGGGTTGGTTCGGGTTTTTCAAATATCAAACCAAACCATTTGTGTAAAAAATTTAAATTTATAAACCAAACCAAACTAATAAAATTCGAATTTTTTTGGGTTTTTCAACCTTGGGTTGGTTCGGGTTTTTCAAATATCAAACCAAACCATTGTGATGAATTTTTTAATTTATAAATCAAACCAAACTAATAAACCTCAGATTTTTTTCAAGTTTTTGGATTTTTTCGGTAAAGTTTGCATACAAACATATAATTAACTTGTGCTCCAAATATTTCTTTAGTCCAATCAAAATACAATTATCTAAGGTATTTCTTAAGAAAATAACATAAAATATGAGATGAGTGATGACACTAAAATATTCAATAAAAAATAATAATGAAATCATCATATAAATAAATATTGCAAAGTCATAATGAAAATGATCATAATTTAAAAGAACTAAATCATGCTAAAATAAGTTTAATAAGTATTAGTTACATTACTAAATATTTAAAGAAAATTAAAATTAGATTATGTATTTTAATTGTCTAAACCAATGTAAAACTAAAGAACAAATATTCAATACTATTGTCATTCTTAGTGTTGAATTGATTTTCTTTTTGCATTTGTATTAATTTGATTTTGATTTAAGTTTTATTATAATTATCAACATCTGTGAACTATAATCTTTATTGGACCATTCCGAATTCTAAGTTTTAAACTTGAAATAATATATTAAAAGATAAAAACTATGAAATAGTATAAGAAATATTTTAAGATTATATCAATGTAAATATTTTTATGTATAAAATAAAATTTAAAAATTACATATATAATGTCGGGTTGGTTTGGTCTCGGGTTGGTTTTTTTTAGTTAAAACCAAACCAACCCAAATATAGTCGGGTTTTTTTTTTCCAATACCAAACCACTAATCGGATTTTTTGTTCGGTTTAACTCGATTTGCGATTTGGTTCGATTTTTTATTCGATTTTGTACACCCCTAACTCCAGGCATCACTAAGGTCATTGTCTTAGCATTACAATCAAGAATAACATGATGAGGAGAGAGTCAATCCAAACCCAAGTTGACATTGAAATCTACCATCCCAATATGATCAAGTCTACCCAAATGTCATACCCCGTCAAAGTAACAAGAAAGGATCAATACAATCGATCCACCACTAAGGGTTCACCCACGGGTGTAGAAACACGAATCGACACAAACATACAATCACACATGAAAATGTTCCTCATTAGTTGACAACCATTTGAGATATTTAGGATGGTCCTATGTACAAAAGGAATGTTGTCAATTTTTCAAAATAATTCTAGAGTTAGACTTATTTCTGTAATCACCCAACATAGTTATCTATAAATATGTTTTCTCTAATTATTCTTCCACTTTTCTACTTCCTTGAACCATAGAATAAATATTCTCTCTTTTTGTCTTTTCTTTTTTCACATCAAGGGAAGCATATTCTAAGTAATTTTAAGTTATTCTAACATATGTTTATGAATTCTAAGTAAGAGTGTACATCAGAATCTTAGAATTTTTTAGAAAACTCATGTCAAGGTTCAAGAACAGACTTTAGAGTTCGTCCTCAAATTTATAGTCTTTCTTCAAGCGTTTTGATCAATTAAAGTGTGTAAGAATATATATTTTGCGAAAATATCATTGTTCTTTCCCACACTATATTTTTTCAAAACATCATAAATTCTCCTCAATAAGATAAATAGGTTAAATATGAAAATTATATATTTGTTCATATAATTCACTACTAAACCCAATGAAACATTATGAAATTTCTTATATTCTAATTATGATATTATTCCATGTGTTCTATAGCTATCATCATGAAAAAATTATGCTAAGCATGAATTATTTTTTTTCCTCAAAAAGAAAGAATTTTGTGATTGTTATGATATGATGAATATGATTATGATGAACGAACTAAAGATCAGACTTCATGTACTCACATGAACCATTTTATGATGAAAGATGCTAATGTTGAAGTCAATCTAATGACTCAATTTTTTTTATTTCTTTCCATGACATTCATTCTCCTTTTTATTTTTGGTAACTAATCCTTGTATTAATCACCAACTGACTTTAATTACAGATTTATAACCAAACAACACACCATGTTGGTTATCTCAAAGGTAAAACAAAAAAGACTAATGTCCAAACATACTAAGTCTATGCCTACCAACTAAAAATGATCAAAAGACTAAGATATGCAATTGATACGTCTTCGTATACCTATAGGGTATTATGTATACATAATTGACATTATGTTTACAAATCTGATTATACGTATCAAAATATTTTTGATAAAAGTAATACATCTATCAGAAGTACATGTCAACAGTTGTGCAATATACTTATATATACTAATAGGGTGGTGCTAAATGACCAAAAAGTTCGGCCAGAAATTTAAAAAGTCTATAATATCCTTTTTATTTTAAAATAAATTGATCTTTTATTTTTTAATTAAAAGGTATTAAAGTTAAAAGGGTAAAAATATTCAAAAGGGTAAAATAACTTAGTGTGAAATATATTATTTTATCATTCTGGCCAAAAGGACTTTTCCATACTAATAATACATACAAACAAAATATAAGAAATGTATACATGTTTCATTTATCATGTAACAATCAACGTATACAATAAATTTTGAACCAAATAAATAGTAAGAATTACGCAAATCTTATAGTGTTAAGAGTTAGTTACATCTTATTCCTACTCTTTTCCAAATTACAAAAATTCCTTAAAACTTAGTTATTTTGGATACATCACTCAACTTTCCGATACATCAAGTCCAGGTACATTATCTGTGTTGATACAAAACACAATTGTCTCGATACATCGCATTTTGATACATAGCGTAAGAGTGATGTATTTGAGAGAGAGAGAGGAAAATAGGTATTTTTGTAATTTTTTCAAATGGTAGGAAATTTGAGAGGATATGGTAAAATAAGTTGTGTATTTAGGTAAATTTTTCTATAAATTAACTATACATCAACTATCATACTTTAAATAGATGTATACAACAAGAAGTTGAGATTTCGTTAATGTAGACAATTTACCATAGGGAGTGGGATATTAAATGAGAAACTTTCACATATAGCAAACATAAAAAATCATATTTGTATGTTATAGCTATAGTTTGCATAATTGCGTTCCATAGCAAATTTTATGTTTGTTATGGAGCTTTTGATTTGTATAATTCGTTAGATACATTCAATTTTATACAAATTGTTCTGTTTTGTATAAATTCATTTATACATTGTTATTTGTATAATAAGCTCTGTATTTGTATAATTATAAGTGTATATGATGAAAATATATGTATTTGTATTTGTATATACACTTTTCTTTCGCTTTATACAAACACAAACACATTTTATACATTTGTATACCGAAAATGGCTAATTGTACATCGAACTAGATGGCAAAAAATGAGATGTTTGCTGCCAATTACAAATAAAATAAACTATGGCTATAATATTTAATTTGAATTAATAATTTGCTATTTCATACAATTTTCCATTTTTTTAACCAACACAATTTTAGGGATTTAAATATTGTAACTACACCAAAGAGGGGAAGATGCACATCAAAGTGAATATGAAAATTGATGAAGTTACAAATTGCACATGAAAAAGTATGAAGTTATATATGGGTTTTTCCCCATTTCAAGATTTCAGATCATGTGCAACACATAATAGTCTCGAACATGAAAACCAACCTTAAAATGCTAACATTACTTTGCACATAAAATAACTTTATAGAGAAAAAAGGTTATTTATGAATGAGTTCAACTAGACAAGAAGAAATATATTACAAATTTGGCATTCCAATTCCCTTTGGTAATGTGGCATGGTATTGGAGCCCTTAAGGTTTCCTTTGCATGTAGCCATGGATTGAAGGAGACCTATAGAGCTTCAGCTCGCATGTCCATAAATGAGTCGAGTTGAAGACACCAGCAAAATCAACATCAGACAAAGCTTGCTGCACGAAGAGCTCACAAAATCAATGTAGTTAATCGTGCACGAGAAGGGCAAAAGAGAAGCAAGCAATGATAAATTATTTTGCATATATTAGAAACTGGAAAAGAAACTTTATGTTTAATTGAATTTCATGAAGCCAAATCGATTTTAATGTTTTTTCTTACCACCTTTCCCAAGCTAACATAGAATCCTCTTCATTTCTCTTTTTCGTTTTTAAATCTATGTAATACGATCTATATACACTTTTATACTTTACATATACATCACTATACACTATTACACATGACATATACATCCTTACACTACTATACATTACGTATACACTGTAGGTATAATGTACAAGTAATGTATATGCTTTGTATAATAATGGATAAACACATTTAACCAACACATGACAGGCAAACCTTGCGTTTGGAGGCATCCCATTTAGATTTACCCATCATTGAGTAGTTTTTTTCAGATTTCAATTTTCCACAGTTGCATTATTGATTTATTGATGTTTGACTAAGGTCGAGAGACGAATTGACACACAAATTAAAGATTTCTATGTGATCTCATCTATTGTAGATAGTCAAGTTTATGGGACAGGGCGTTAGCTAGATTTTGTTCACCAATACAAAAGGAATGTAAATTCAGTTAGACTTTACTTATATGCATTTAAAGAGAAAAGTTATCTGGTTTATTCAAAGATTGAAAGATGAAGATAGATTTTAATCAAATTCAGAGCTGATAACTATTAGCATCTATCCAACTTAGAGGAACACATAAATACACATTTTTACCTGGCATAGCAACACACGAAAAGAGATTTGATACATTGTTCATGTTTTCATACACCAATAAGTAACAAAATTATATCAACTAGAGGCAACATGAATGAGAACGAGTTGATTCTAATATACTCTGGATAGTCATACTCCCCAAATAATTAAGCTGCCTACAACCTCCTTTATTCTATCAGGGTACATACTAGGTGGTGCATGGGAGGGGAAATTTAATGCTTGCATATTTAGAGATGATACAAGTGTTTACATTAACGCATGCACTATCCCCTTCAAAGTATAAATACCACCAATTTGGATATGATGTTGCAGAAGATAGGTAGACTAATAAGACAAGGTTAGAGAGGAGTTTCAAAGTGAAATAAAATACTAAGACAGGTGAAACTTACAGGAAAGTTGAGAGAGTCATATCGTCACAAATTCCGGTTCTACACTATGATGGATGTTAGTTGTTGATTTCCAAAACCTTTGTTGAGGCAGTCAAAAGTGCTTTCCTGCGCATCCATTTTCTCTACCAGTGGCAAATCAATAGTAGATCTAAATGCTATTTCAAGATCTTCCTGATTTATTTGACAATCAAGAAACGTTTTATCTGCTGCACATTTTTCATATCCAGGCTTGCAATTTTGAATTTCATGTTCGCAAGCAGGATCTGTATAGCTCTCAAGAGATACAGAGGGACCCTCTAAAAACCTGAAATTCCCAAATCAATGACATTAGAGGGTAATAATTATCTCTATAGATAAAGATAAAGATGGTGGCGGTGGTGGTGATTGAGTGGGGCGCATGGATGGGAAACAAGAAAAATAACTTATTGTTGGACATCATATTTGTTTAAATGTACTGATAAGGAAATAAAAGGCATCAAAGCTACACCAGTATCAGTGCCAGAAATTATCAATGTATCTTGTTATAGTTATCTGATACGAAAAGTTAACGATGACTATGAGGATTGGAAGCTTGAAGCATAATATAAAGGTAAATCCTTACCCTTGTACGAACGAATTTAGGTCCTCATATCCATTAATACTATCACTATCACCACCGTGGACTGATGAAGATCGATTCCTCTCTTGCCCAGCATCAAAACTTACTGGTGAATTCATCCCATACTGGATCGATGATGAAGAATGAAATTCTTGCTCATCATCAAATTTTAAAGATGCATCAAATACGTTTAGGTTGTTGTATCCATCCATATTTTCACTAGCACTGCCATGGACTGATAACCCTACATTAAGCTGAGCTGAAAGTGAATTTGTCCCATGCTTGATCGAAGAATAAGTTGAAAATTCTTCTCCATCATCAGAACTTAATGAATCCATCCCATACTGAAATGAAAGTGTTCGTTAACTTGTAGTATAGACAGTATTAAATTTAATAATTAGTTTCTATCACAATAGCATTCATGAGAGTACCAAAAGATAACAATAGATATTTAATTGGAAATCTAAGAGCCACTTGTTAAATTTGTCACCTGTTACCAACATCCCCGTTCCACTTGTTAAATTTGTCACCTGTTACCAACATCCCCGTTCCACTTGTACCCTCATATTACTCTAAAAAAGGAAAGGATACAATCATAGAAGACGCACCTTTATGATTTTGTTTCAAATCTAAGAGAACCAAACTAAATACTTATCCAATGATGATGTTATCATTTAGAGCTCTTTTTCTCTCCATCAACAACATGGAGTAATTCCTTGTTTGGAGGTCATCATCAAAATTATTAGTGCGTTAATTCAACAAACTGGGCTGTTTGAAGAAACATGATCCAAGTATACTTTATGTTTTTATTTTATTAAAGAGAGTTTGACAGTAAGTCATCATAACTTGCATGATGTTAATTTTGTGAAGATTCTTCTGAAATCTGCAGTTCCCTAGATCACAAAGAGAGAATAAACTACCATACTATAACTCAATGCCTTCTTCTAAGAAAAAATAGTAAAAAAGAAAAACTTCTTTACTTTTTCTTGGTAAACAAACCATATACTTCTGGATGAGGTAAAACTCAAGAGTAAACAAAACATAAGGTAGGGGATAGAGAATCTGAGTCAGCTTACTGTTGATCAATTTATGCTACATTTTCATTGTTTTGTTAGTATGGTCACCTAACTAAATTATCAAATGAAATCTGATAAAATGGTAAATTAATGAAAAAAAAAAAATTCTTTAAGAGAAAGAAGTGTATGATGTTAAACATTTCTTCAGCTGCAAGTCTAACATTGAATATCACGAAGTTACTCGAAGGATTTGAGAAAAAATGCCAAATAAGGCTTTCTTCTGAAGATGCAGCTGGTGGACAATTTGGGAACATCCTAACAACTAAGATATATGTACAAGGTCAATAATAAGCTAACAGCTTTGCTGCAACTCATAGGCTTTCCACATACACTAGATTAGGCATCTTCATCTCTGATGTCACAAGGGTAACTGACTTCTGGAGTATCATTCGGCTTCTTAGCCATTAAATGTCGTAGAAATGATCTCCACGTGTTGATAAGATAAAATCACAAGATTTTCTAAATATAAGATGCAGAAATGATCGGCGTGGCAGTTGGAAAATGGATTTAGCCTAGAAATAAGAAGCTTTCATTCAAATGTTTAGTCGGTCTAGAGAAAAGTTTCCGTAGGAGATATAATGATCAGTTCTATGTGACAAATCTGAATTGTAAGGATTGATATAAATATTGTTTGCCGGTTCTATAATAATCTTCAAACTAACATAATTACATCCAAAAAATTAGACATGATGTTGATGACAAATTGTGAGCATTCAAATGGTTCTCATATAGCTTCAATTTAAAAACTAGTTTCACATAGATGGATCTTTCTGCCAATGATAGAGAACAATCGACTTCTTTAAATGGAGAGTAATGAAATGTGAAAGGAGTGGTAATAATATTAGGGAGATGCAGATTGCAGTATCTGTCTAAGCCAAAAGAATGAAAATGAAAACTTACAAGAAAGTTTAGAGATTCAGCTAACATCATATTGTCACAAGCTCCAGATGCTGACGTTGAACTATCATGGATGTTAACAAAATCAGAATGAGGAAGTATGGAACCATTGTTGGTGCTACAGCCCAAAATATTTCCGTGGGCATCCATTAGTTCAACTTGTGGCACATCAAAAGTAAATCCAAACTCTCTTTCAATATCTTCCTGATTTAATTCACAATCCAGAAACATTTCATCAGGTACAAAAAATTTGGATTCCGGCTTAGATATTTCAATTTCTTTGTTGCAAACAAGATTTGTGTAGCTCTCAAAAGAAAAAGACCGTTCCTCCAAATACCTACAGACCCCAAAAATCAATAACATGTCAGAAGCCAATAATTTCTTTTGTAGATAAAACAAAGAAAATGATGATACAATTTGAAATAGCAATAAATATCAATGCCAACTAGAAATTATAGACATATTAAAATCTATTACTATTACGTAACAAGGAATAGGATAATTGGAAGTTTGAAGCTTGAAATAAAGTTAACTCCTCACCCTAGTGGGAATGAATTTAAGTCCTCGTACACATCCATATTTTCATTATTACCACCGTGGACTGATGAGCATCTATAGAGCTCTTGCCAGGCGTTAATCCCATGCTGCATCAGTGAAGAAGCCTGGAAGTCTTGCCCAGTATCAGAAGGTAAAGATGAACCAAATGAAGTCAGGTCTTCGTACACGTCCGTATTTTCACTATCACAACCATGGATTAATGAACATGGATGGGGCTCTTTCCTAGCATCAAAGTTTGAAGGTAAATCCATACCATGTTGGACTGAAGAAGGATGAATATCTTCCCCAGCACTAAAAATTAATGATCTAATCCCATACTGCAATGCAAAGAGTGGTCATTACAACCTTGTAATTTACAAAAGAAAATGCAGAGCATAACTCTTTACTTATCGTTGCGCATTATATTTAGCCACTAATTGAAGTTATTATGATTTTCTATCAAAAATTTTAAAAGAAAACGACAATCAAAAGACAAATAATGGATATGTTGGAAACATTACAGCCAAGCACAGTACTTTATTAGCCTGTTTTCAATTGTTTATTTGTAGTTATATCATTTCCATTAGGAAATTAGCTTACAGTCTACTGCTGGAGCATCGATATGACTCCCACACTCCTATTATTCTCATTGAAATATCACTATAAAAAATGGCAGGGTATCCATACCAAACCGGAGAATTTTATTAACTTTGTTTAATAAACAAAGTGAGTTTAACTAAAAAGGTTAAGACAAATATATATCCAACAGTAGAGTAACCTTTCAGGCCCTAGAGCTCTTCTCCAATTAAATCCATAAAACAAGTAAATTTGATCGGTCATAACTAATATGATGAATGGCTACACACAAGTGTGTAAATCAAAACAGAGCTGTGGACTGTTGGGTGACGCAAGATTTAAGTATACCTTATGCTTTGCGATTTCGTTAAGAGATTTAGAAATTGAGTCTTCCAATTTCCTAAGTTGTTGAATGTTGTCAATCTTGTCAAGATTCTTCCAAAGCCTGCATATTCCAAATCACAACAGAAAAAGAAATGTCATAATCTGGTTCTAGCACTATCTCTGAAGAGACAATGGCAAGTAAACGATGCATATTAACCTAGAAATGGAAGAAAGAATAGAATTATCATAAAGTAATTAATAAAAATGATCTAATAACAAGAGAAATTCCCGAAAGAGAATACATTTTTTTCTGGAAGAGAAAGAAGAGACTGTATATGTTGAAATATGTGACCATCTCAGTTGAAGTTTAAACGGTTAGATGAAGTACTTTTTTTGGCTTTTGTAGATAATTATGCTTTTGTTTAGCAAGGGAAGATATCTTATAACAAGTATGATCAATAAAAAAATTTAAAATGTCACCTGAGTCTACCCTCGATGTCTGAAAGTCGAATTCTTAATGAATGTGAGAGAAAATTTATATCCTATACCAATCACAAGAAATTGAGTGTTACATAACTAGCATTGCCACCAGTGCTTACAAATTAGGTAGTCATAGTGATATACTTCTGATAAATAAAATTAGTACCTCCGTTGTCAAATCCCTGAAAAAGAATAAGCAGAAAATTTCAGTAGTGAAGTAAAAATGTAAACCTGACAAGTCTTGCTTGTTAAAATGAAAGGTAAACCGAACTACTTCGCAGTAAAATGGTACATACCCAGGACAGAGCTGTTCTCCGATATTTACATCGTGATCAGACTTCTTGCAAGCTTTCTTTATTGTCTAAATGTTCAAATCGAGAGAAGGTCATCACCAAAAAAGCACCTTAAATTTTGAATGCACAAATAAGTGGAAACAGGCCATTCCTATAAAAAAGGAAGGTTGGACTTACTTCAAGACACTCCATCTTCCTGTTAATAAGGTAAAAGAACAGTTCTAAGATTAACTCTTCACACATTTAATCATTTCATCAGTACAACTATTCACATGTGTGTGTTATGGTACCTTTTTGCCCTTTCTTCTGGATTTACTTCGATAATCTTGGTAATCATGTCCTCAAAGCTACTGGAGGGAGAATAATACAATGGGTTTAAAATTTATCAGTAGAAAGGCTTTCGAAAAAACTGGTCTTTAAATTTTGCTAGATTTAAACTAACATAGACACATAATTATTAATATTGGCTATTTTATTCAGGTGGATCCATAAAGTACTTCACATCTCATAAATTGTTGACTTGGAAGAAGTATCTTGACATTAAAAAGTAGCAATCATATTTCTTGAAACAAAGTAAATCACACGTTATTTTTCTCTCCTAAGACCTAAACCATAAAGAGATGGAAATGTTAGGGTTTAATAGTGAGTTATCGTGGTGGGAGAAGAAGTACCTGCTCTCTGACTTGTATACACTAGGCTTTCCGCTTGGTGAAAACATGGCAAGAAAGATGTCAATGTCGCACAATACTGAAAGCTCATTAGCTTTCTTCAAGAGACCTTTCTTTCGCCTTGAGTATACTCCTATACGGTTGCTACCATCCAATTTATGCAGTTTCAATTTTGCCCTCCCCATCTGCATTTCCATAAGCACAGATTCAAATCTTTGATGCAGATAACATCAAATGACTTAAGAACATACACTCTATTGAATTGTGATTGATCAATGCCCGATTCATACCCTTATTTAACAATCTTACTAGTGGATATAATTTGAGAAAACAACAAAATTGTTTCAGTGTACCAAAACTATCATACATGTGTAATCCAGGAAGTTAAGAAAAAATCATGCCACCAAAAAAATGTACTTCCGGGATTCTCTCCATTTTTCTGGTCAGATGCTATCACAATAACAACAGTTGTAGTACTGAATTTCAGGTTTACCTTACCTTTGCTTCAAAGTCTCGGCGCCTACTTTCCTACAGAGTCCAAATTCTGTGAAATTTTAAGAACAATGTCTCTCTTTCACGACACCAGCAGTATGAGGAGACCTGCGATAAAATGCAGGTGAAGAAAAAGACAACCAGACTTAGATTTGTAAAAATTCTCACAAGAAAGACGGTCCCAGCAGCGACACATTACCTTGTTTGTGCACAATAAATCTTTTATTTGGATATAATTAATTAGCGGAGTGGAAATACGACTCCCTTCTAAACTATCTAGATGAACTTGTATAGAGTGTTATTTGAGAATATCTGCACATAAACAACAAAAAACCTAGCAAATTCACCATTTTCAAGGTCAAAATATATAATGGGCGCGTGTGTAAAATCACTTGTACAAGAAACTAAATAATCATCACAGAGAAAATTCACACATGGTTGATAGTTTGTTCTTCACTATGCCCCTGAAATTTCTGTAGGGAAGAGAAAGAATGACCTGACAATACAATGATCATCCTTAAATCACGAAAAGGAATGAGAAGAAAGTAGTTGCATTTAGTTCAGAGTTGAACCGAGGGTCTTTTGAAAAGAGTATCTCTTCCTCTCTGGTAAGGCCTGCTTACACTCTACCCTCCCCAGACCCCACTTTGTGATATTTCACTGGGTATGTTGTTATTGTTCAAGCATAACACATGTGTGATCCCGTAACTTTCGAAATAAACCAACCACCCTCAGATAACATATTTTCACAACTCTCTTTGCTTTCTTGTTTGGAAATGTCATTGCTTACCAGAATTTCATATAATTGAACAAAAATAATGATGCTGTCAGTAAGCAATTACGCCAAAAAGTATGGTGATACCTAAAAACAAAAAAAACAAAAAAAAATGAATAAAACTTGTAAAATAATGCAAATAACATTTTCCACACCAGAAACTGTACATTCCGAAAATATGTCCATTGGATTAAAGCATCATGATAATCGTACCAATTGATTAAAATGCAGCAGCTCCATTCAGATTTTGCAATATCTGTACACCGAAAACAAAAACTAACAGTTGAATAAATTCAATTTTGTCAAAATTATAAACAAACCCTAAATTAAACACCCAAAAATGCATGAAAATAAAAGGAGATAATGATGATGATGATGATACCCTAAGGAAGATGAGCGTGATTTAACCCTCACAAATATTGAGCAGACATATCTCCATGCCATTTCTGTTAGAGATGAAACTCTTTGATCATAACAAAGAGAATTGGAATGGGAAGAGTAAAAATGGGAGGTTTTTGGTTTTATAGCTACGCAGAGGAGATCTGCGGTCATCGTAACTCAATACGATTGAATCGGAGAAGCCGTTACTCCGACCATTTTGTGGTCACTCGAAAATACAATTTTCATTTTACTTTAACTATAAGCTTTTTATTTGTTTCTTAATCACATGTTTTTATAATTTTCTTTTTTAATTATATGGTAGTCAAAATGTCATGTAAATGGAAAATCATTAGGAATATTAGAGTAGTAATAATTAACTAATTACCCAAATATATCCACGTACTATTAGAGCTGTCAATATGGGCTAGCCCACCCCATCCGGGCTAACCCATACAGGCTTTAACATTTTACGGGCCAGGCCAGGCTAGCCCATTTTTGGTGTGGGCCAGAAAACGGTCGGCCCAACCCACAAGTATGTGGGCTACAAGCTTGCCGGGCCAGCCCACTTTTTTAAAAGTTATATATTTTTTTATAATTATTAAATTAAATTATAAATTATAATTTAAAAATATTATCATAAATATCGATAAAACAATATTACATGGTGTTAATGTTACTACTTGTTAATCAAATCCACAAATAAAATTATCTTTATAATATTTATTAAGTTTTTTTCAAGTAAAAGTATAAATATCTAAATAGAAATATTAACCTAACTATTTTGCAATGATCACAATAGAACACAAAAAATATGACAATATTCCAACCATAAAAATGTAAAAAATAAACTCCTTAAAAAATCATGAAACTTATGGTGTATCTAACACTTCATGAAACCTATGACGTATCTAACACTTCATGATCATCTTCATCAAGCATATCTGAATCAACTTGTGGGAAGGTTGTCTTAACATCTTCATTTTCATATGCAATTTATATGCGGTTTCAATTAGTTAAATATTAAAAAATAGCTAAATTGAGAATTATAATATTTAAATGTACACAAAAATATATTACCAGTTTGAGAAAAACCATGTAACCAGTTTCGAGTAGCAACAAGTGTTTGGACATTTTCATGGTGGATGCAACTTTTATACTTAGTGATTTCCTAAAAAACTTTAAATAGATTTTGAGTTTGGATCTCTTTAATTTTAAATTTTAATATTATATTATATTTTTTAATTAATTTGTATTAGCCCACGGGCCGGCCCTACCTATATTTCTCAAGCCCCACAAATTAACAGGCTTATTCAGGCCGGGTTAAAAAGCCTTTTTTTAAAATGGGCTCCAAAATTTTTAGCCCAGCCCTATTAAATCCCGGGTTAGGCCAGGCCGGCCCAACAAGCCTAGCCCATATTGACGGGTCTACGTACTATGATATAATTACTTTTATTATGATATATTTAAAATCAAATACTTAACTCATTTTTTGTAGATACAAGAGAAATCCTACGGAAATAAAATTTATATAGTACAAATAGTGATAACAACAATATATTCAATGTAATTTCATAAGTGTGAGGAGAGTAACATGTACACAGAGACTCTAGATTGTTTTTAATGGACCATCATTTACTCAAGTAAAATATCTCAAAGCAACTAAGAGAAGAGGATATATCATATACTACTGAAGAAATTGTGACGGAAATTCCAGAGAAAAGAACTGGAGCATAGCAAATAATATAATAATTAAAATAAATGAAGTAACATGTAATGATAAAATCAAAAAATAAGATAATAGAAGAATAAAAATAAAAATATTGATAAGCAAAATTATACAATACTCGACTATATATCTACTAACTTGATCCTAAAACTCTATATCCTCGTATAATTCATCTTTGCTTAGTCAAATATATATAGAAGATGTAACTGCACTCTTTTTTTTACAACTTTCCTCTTCATCTTTTTTTACTTTTTCTTTTTTAATATAATCTATATATATAATAGGATAGATGAAAAGCGTCATATGTCAGCACCACAAAAAATAGACTTTTAAAATAATTAAATGTAAAATGATTAATAATAAATTACTATTATATTTTTAAATATATATATATATAATAGGAGAGGTGAAAAGCGTCACATGTCAGCACCACAAAAAATATACTTTTAAAATAATTAAATGTAAAATGATTAATAATAAATTACTATTATATTTTTAAAAATAAGTTTAAATAGGGAAAATTGTATATAATAGCAAACTATTAATTCAAATTAAATGTTATAAATATAGTTTGATTTAATTGTACCTCATAGCAAACTGTTGTTATTTCATCTCTCTCCTGGTGAATCTCGCTCGCCACTCTCGTTCTCTCCCTCGCCTCTCTCGTTTTTTATACAAACGCAAGTGTATAAAGTGCATTTGTGTTTGTATAAAGCGAGAGAAAATTGTATATATACATATATTTTCGTTCCCCTCTCCCAGATCTCGCTCTCTCACTCGCCTCTCTCACTTTATACAAAAACGCAAATGTATAAAATGCGTGAAAATTGTATATATACATATTTTTTCGTTCCCCGCTCTCCCCTCTCCCAGATCTCGCTCGCCACTCTCACTTTATACAATTGATCTTTTTGTATATGTATACCAAAGCAAATTGTACAACTGCTTTCTTTTGTATATGTATAGAGAAATATACATATTTATGTTTGCTATGGAGCGCAATTATGCAAACTTTGTTATAGCATACAAATATGAATTTTGTGTTTGTTATATGTGAAAGTTGTTCTTTTAAATATGGTGATGTAACGTGTGTGTGATTCCTTTTTTTGTGGGAAGTTAACTCATTTTTAATTAAATAATATTAATATTAATAATAAGAGAAAAAACTGACAATAGAAAAAAAATTTAAAAGAGAACTACCCACGTTCTTTGTGAAAATAGCATATATTTTAAATAATATATATATATATATTTATTTTTATTTTTCTTTTTTATTTTTTTTTAAGGAAATATGCAGAAATTACGTAACTCCATTTAAGTCTCTTTTTTTACTTCATTTTTGAATTATTTTTTTTTAAATGATAGTTATTCAAATCAATATCCAAACGGATAAGTTTTTTTAAATTTGAGTGATTAATTTAAAATTTAAATTTTAAAAGATAAATAACTAATTTTATTCCTAGAAAATAGTTAACCGCATAACACACATGTAAATAACAAAAATCATTCTTAAATGCACCATTTACATCTTCCCAAAAACTTACTCATTTCAGAATTCTTATTCTCTTATATTTATTCAACTGCTTAAACATGGTAACATTTTTTGCTTTTCGTGTTTGCTTTTATGATTAGTTCATGAGTATGAAGAGAAGATCGTTTGGTTTAGAAGAGTTCAGAAATAGATTCTGACAACATTGATATTTCTTTTATGCTTAAGTCATTCATAGTTCATTAAAGTTGTTCACATAATTCACTTAGATACCTTAACTACGACTTGTACCTATTGAACACTTAAATTATTCAAAACATTTACCTATTGAACACAAAATGCTTATGTGGCAAAATAAGTGTAGCTCACTCTGATTGGACGCTTTTTTTTAGATAAATTTGTTTTTGTTTTTACACGTGGCATACATTAAATAACCAAAAAAGTAATAATTTAATTCAATAATAATCTTAATAAAAATTTTAAAAGAAAATCCCTCTGTCGTCTTCTTCACTCATCGTCATCTTCTTCACCCATTTTACAAAATCTTTGTTCTTTCTTTTGGTTCCACTAATTTTTCTTCTTCATTTTTTGTTTAAAAAACAAATTGAGTCTGAGGAAATATATCAGGATAGAATGTGTTCTTAGCACCAATATCATTATCGAAAACACATCAACTAAAGAAATAACCAGCCAAAACAGAAAAGATCAAAAGAATTTACTGATAAAAATTCTCATTGAAGTCGTTGAAGAGTATCTCATCAAAAAAATAAAAATCAGATTGCATCAAAAACAATTCCAGCGAAACTCATTTTTTCCGGCAAGACTAATACGGATTTGAAAATTATTTTCTTTAAAATTGCTAAAAAAAAATCAAACCATAAAAAACTTACAACATAGAAGAAGAAGCAGAATATACAAATCTGAATTGAGTTTTAAAAAGAAAGTTACTTTAGGAGCGGTGGCGGTGTGTTCTGAGAAGAAAAGGGGAAGGTGGACGCCGGGTGGTTGCGTGGGTGGGGGTATTGTGCTAAAAAGAAATTGGGGAAGGATGATTTTTTTTTTGGGGTAAAAACATAATTTTTATTTTATTTTTCTTTCTTGAATTGATATATCATGGGTCTATGCCACATGTCTTTTTTTTATTGGTTAATATGCCACATCATTCACGAGTGTATGATACTCTCTCTATGTTTAGTTAATAGTCAGAAAATGTTTGATAGGAATATTTTTTAACTAATAAAGGTGTTCAATTGGAACAAGCCTAAGATACGATGTCTAAAGTGAATTATGCGGACAACTTTAAGAGGTTATCGATGACTTGAGTCTTTCTTTTAAGATAAGTTCATAGTTTTTCATATTAATGAAAAGGAGTATATTTAATCTATCTATCTATATATATAAAACTGAATATAATCAATCTGATGTGACAGCTCTTTATTGCCAGCATTTCTATTTCTCCTTTTTTCTCCTTTTTTGACATTTTACGTTTGTTT